ATCGCTATTAGGTTGGAGGCCATCGCTATTATTAGGTTGGAGGCCATTGCTATCAGGTTGGAGGCCATCGCTATTAGGTTGGAGGCCAGCGCTATTAGGTTGGAGGCCGTCGCTATTCGGTTGGAGGCCGTCGCTATTGGGTTGGAGGCCATCGCTATCATTTGGTTGGAGGTCATCACTATTATTAGGTTGGAGGCCATCGCTATTAGGTTGGAGGCCATCGCTATTAGGTTGGAGGCCATCGCTATTGTTATGTTGGAGGCCATCGCCATTCTTAGGTTGGAGGTCATCGCTATTTTTACAAAAATGGAGACTATCGCTAGTATAATAGCAATGGCCTGGTTTCATTTCGTGGGCCTGGTCGCTGAGAAACACGGGTCGAGTGTACTGTGGCTTATAGTGGACATAATAGCCCACATCTCAGAACTGGAAAGCAGCCTTGCTCCAAAGCTGCGTGAAATACATGACACCTGTCATGGTTTGAGTGGGCCTTCCCTTTTCACGACGCGAAAGGAGGCAGATCCCAACTCTTTTTTTCGGCGGGACATGTCTGGTGAGATGTGGGAGTCAATTGCAGCCGTGTATAAATCGCAGCCTTGTGTGGTGGCTCTTATGAGGAGCACAAGGCTTTTCACAACGATCAGAACCGGTGGCTTAACCTAGATCCATCCTGCAGAGAGCTGAATAAATATGTTGTGTTTTGACGGGCGGACAATACGCGCTGGACGGAGTAGAGGGTCTCCATTATCTCACACCATTGCGCCCGTTACGGGATGTCTATCGCAACAACCCGGGTTAGGTACGCCTGAACATGTCGGAAGCGCTTGTGGCTTCTTCCTCGCAGGAAATTGGACTGTGGCAGTATGGAACTATAAGGGGAGGTATCTTTGGATGTATGAGGTAATTGAAGATGTAGAGGCTCCACGTCCATATATCTGCGAAGTCCAAAGTTCTGAAAAATAACACACGCCGGGAGGCAGGCTCCAAGGCCGGTGGCCGGTGGCCGGTCGGTAGCCGGAGTTCGGTGGCCGGGTCGGTTGTCGGTGGCCGGCAATCAAGGACGGTGGCCGGACCGGTACCGGAGTTCGGTGGCCGGGTTGGTGGCTATTAGGTTGGAGGCCATCGCTATTAGGTTGGAGGCCATCGCTATTAGGTTGGAGGCCATCGCTATTAGGTTGGAGGCCATCGCTATTAGGTTGGAGGCCATCGCTATTAGGTTGGAGGCCATCGCTATTAGGTTGGAGGCAATCGCTATTAGGTTGGAGGCCATCGCTATTCGGTTGGACGCCATCGCTATTAGGTTGGATGCCATCCCTATTATAGGTTGGACGCCATCGCTATTCTTAGGTTGGACGCCATCGCTATTAGGTTGGACGCCATCGCTATTAGGTTAGACGCCATCGCTATTAGGTTGGACGCCATCGCTATTAGGTTGGAGGCCATCGCTATTAGGTTGGAGGCCATCGCCATTAGGTTGGAGGCCATCGCTATTCGGTTGGAGGCCATCGCCATTCGGTTGGAGGCCATCGCCATTAGGTTGGAGGCCATCGCTATTAGGTTGGAGGCCATCGCTATTAGGT